CTTGAACTAATAATGTAAGTTTTTCAATTACCTTGAATTTTTCATTTACTTCCTTATTAAGGTTTTCCATTTTATCGTCTTTTTCTGCTAATGAATTATTTTTAAGTTCAATAGATTCATTCAAACATTTAACCTTTTCTTGGAGATCATCAATTAATTTATTCTTATTATTTATTATTTCATTATTACTTTGAATAAATTCTTCCTTTTCCAAAATGTTTCCATTTAATGATTTTATTGAAACATCTTTTTCCTTAATAATATTTTCTAAATTTTTAATAATCTCCTTTTTCTTTTGAATTTCTTCATTATATTCATTAACAAGATTATTCTTTTCTTTAATGATTTCATTTAATGAATCTATGATTTTTTCCTTTTCTTTCATAGTATCATCTTTTTTATCATTCCATTTATTACTTTCTTTCAAATTACTTGTTAATGATTCAATTGAAGATTCCTTTTCATTAATATTATTAGTTAAATTATTAATACTACTATTTAATTCATCAATGGTAGTTTCATGACTTTTAATTTTGTTATTTAAACTTTCGATTAATTCATCTTTACCATTCATATGATCATTAATATTATAAAGTGAGTCATCTTTTTCTTTAATAATATTTTCTAATTCATTAATTCTTTCTTCTGATTTAACCAAATTTGTCTTGTATGTTAAAAGGTTCTTATCCTTTTCATAAACAGAATTAGATAATTGATCAATAGAATTGTTCTTTTCTTTTAAACTTTTTCTTAAATCTTTAATCAATATATCCTTTTCTTTTATGGTAGCATCACGTTCTTCAACAGTTTCCTTGACATTGTGAATATCAATAAGTAATTGATTAATAGCGGTATCTTTTTCATTCAAATTATCATCATATTTCTTTTTCAAGTTTTTAATTTCGATAGTATTACATTCATTAATTTTCTTAATGCTATTTTCACGGTCATGGATAGCTTTTACTAACTTTTCAATTGTTTTTTCTTTTTCAACACATTCTTTATGCATATCATTAAGAGCAATTTTGTTCTCCATTTTATCATTTTCCAATTTTTTAATAATATTTTCTTTTTCCTTTAATTTCTTAGAAGTATTATCATTTTGTTTTGCATTATCAGCAATAGTTTTTTGTAAATCACTAGCAGCCTTTTCCATAATTTTCTTTTCGTTAATTATATTTGATATTTCGATCTTCATAGCTTTCATTTCATTATCCTTCTTTTCTAATTTTTCTTTTCCTTCTCTAATTTCAACTTCCTTGGATTTTAATTTTTTATCTAATTCTGTAATAGTACTTAAAAATTTTTTATTATCCTTTTCATATTTTTTATAATCTTGATTGTTTAATTTTTTTTCTAACTCTTCAATTTTTCTGTTCTTTTGATCTAATTCTCCACTAAGATTATCCATGCTACTTTTTGTAAATTTCAAATCTTGTTTAACTCTTTTAATAATATCTTGACTAATTTTAAGTTCAGCATTTTTAGCATTAATTTGTTGTTTATAATTATTTAATTGGGCTTCCATAGATTTAATATCTTCACCTTTATTCACTTCACATTCATTATTATCATCATTATTAACTTCCATATGATTAAGTATATCATCTTTTTGTCTTTCTAATTCTTTAACCATCTCTTCTTGTTCCTTTAATTCTTCCTTACATGCAGATAGTTCATTTTTTAAATCACAATTTAAAGCATGTTCTTTACGTTGTTCACTTTCTAATTTTTCAATAGCACTTTCGAGAATATCATATTGAGTTTGCTTTTCATTTAATTGATGTTGAAGATTTTGACATTGATCTTTTAAATTTCTATTCACTTGCTCTAAACTATCAATTACATTGTTTAATTGTTTATTACTTTCCATTATCTCTTCGTATTTGATGTTAAGTTCTTGAGTTTCATTTTTAGAAGTTTCCATGGTTTTATTTAATAATTCATTATACTTTGTATTTAGAATTTCCAATTCTTTTTCTTTTTCTTCTAATTGACCATTTTTTTGTTCTATCATATCGTTTAACGAATTTTCTTTTATACTAATTGAATCTACAATTAAATTAATTTCATTCATTAAATCATTAATTTTGTCATTCTTTTTATCACTTTGATTTACTTCATTTGTAATTTTATCAATTTTGCATGCAATTATTTCTTTTTCCAAAATATAAGATTCTAATGATTGTGTAGTTGGTAAAGTTTCAGTAGTGGTATTGTTATTAACAGTCTTCTTTATTTGTTTATTTTGATAATCCTTTTTATTAGATATTGGTTCTGGAGTAATTGTGTCATTTCCATCTTTACTTTCAAAGAACTCTAAATCTTGTAAACTTGAATTTCTACTAAATACCTTTTTATCTAATATTTTATTATTTCTGTTTTCATTATCATTATTACATTCACTAGTATCTTTAACTTCGCTATCTAATTTTTCTTTGGAATCATAATATTCTAAGGATGAATTGTTACTTTTATTAAATGAGCTTAAACTTTCATTACTACTACTTTCAATTACATCTTTAATATTGTTATTAAAATTCTTTTTTGATTTTTTGGTAAAAGTATTGTTCTTTTTTGACATCTTTTTTTTACGATTATTTTTTTTGGATGTTGATTTATTTTTTTCCAAATTAGTATCATTATTAGCTAAACTTTTGTATCTATATTTGTTTAAATAATTTTTTATCTTTGGAGTATTTAGTTTTACTAAATATCCCAGTATTGATAATGCTATAACTATTAAAAACATTTTTATCACTGTAAAATATTATTAATTTATTTTTTAATTTGATATTTATAATTAATTATAAAGTAATTTTTGATAATATAAATGATAATATACAATGTATATTGAATATATTTAATATTATAATATTATGGTTTCTTTTTTTTTTTACAAAATTAAAGAATATTAAAATTTATTTATGATTATGTTTAGTATATTTTTAAATTAATGAATATTAAAACATCTTATGTTTAGTTTTATTTATGTATTTTAATGTTTTGATTAGATAGTATACATTTAATTATTATTAATTTGTTTAAAGTTCATTACCAATTTTTAATTTAAAATATACAAATTATACAATTTAATACAAAAAGGAAATATTCTTTCTTTATAGCAACAATTTAGTAAAACATCATTACTTATTTTCTCTTTATTATATTATTTTATTTTATTTTTTTAAAGACAAAGAGATTAAAAGAAAAAAAAAATTCACATAAAACATTTATTTTTATTTTTTTACTTTTAATTCTATATATAGTTTAAAATTTTAAAAAACTTTTTACATAAATAATAAATTAAATATGTTATTTTTAAAATTTCATATTCGATACATTGCTATTATAAATACAAAACAATAAAAAAAAAATATATCCTTTTTTCTTATTAATTTTTATTATTACAATGAAACAAATTTATTACTATAAATATTATTTATAAAATACTTATTTTATTAATATAGTCTTTTTTTTTTTTATTTCTTTTTTCATAATATATTTATAAACATTTATATATATATATATATTTTATTATTATAATTATTATTAGTAAGTTAAGTAAGAAAGTTTTTTTTTTAAAAATAGAAATATTAAAATTTTAATATATTTTAAAATTTCAATGTATCATCTTCAACTACATACATTAAAAATAACAATAATAAAAAACAAAAAAAAACCTGAATAATAAATTTTAAGTTTAGTATCTTTGGATCTGTAGTTCATACATGACATATCACAATGCATATTAAATAAAATCAAAAATCATAATAATATCAAGTATTTTATAATATTGTGTTATGTATTATACATGTGAGCATGGAAGTGACAAAAAGTAGTATTTAACTTTTAAATTTTGTCTTATATAATAAATTTTATTTTAAAATTAATTCCTATATTATTATTTTATAAAAATTATGATAGCTATAGCTATATTTAAAATAAGTTTTAAACAATATGTATAGAAATTATAAATTAAACTTTTATTAATAATTATTATTTTACTTTATACCTATTGACATTACTAAATATTATTTTAATGACAATATTATTTAAAGGTTAAGATTTATACAAATATTAAGCAATAAAAAAATAAAAATTATATAAAGCTATTTCAAAAAATTATATAAAGAAGTAATAATGTAATGATATAGTTTTGTATTTTACTAAATTAAAGTTTAACCTTTTCCATTTTAAAAACTGATACTGTGTAAATAAAAAATAAAATTCTTTTTTTTTAAATTTGTTATTCTATTTTCTAAAAAATATGAATAACAGTTTTGGTATTTCATTTATTTGAGTTAAAATATAAAAACATCAATTATGTTTTATTATAATTTATTTATATTTATTCATTTAATTCAATATTTATGTTTATATTGTAAATAATATTATTTTTCATTTGTTAAATTAAGTATAAATAAACTTTTGTAAAATTTTCTTTGAATATTATACTGCCATTAATAACATCATATTCTTATTAATTCTTTATCAGAAATAATATTTTATGAAATAATATTTAATTTTTCTATTATGAATTTTTTAAATATGAAAATGAAGCCTTTTACTAGTTCTAATCATAAACAAATTTTAATTTTTAGTTTAATATTTTTCATTTTTAATCATACGCAAAGATATATAAAATATGAATAACATGCATTTAATATTATTGTATTTATAATTTTATTATATAACATAATTTATAAAAAATTCAGCTATGAACTCTAATAATTTATAATAAACATATGTTTGTATAGATTAGATTAAAATAAAGTTAAAAATTAAATATCCTTAACCCTTCAAAAAATCTATAACAAAAGATAGGTTTTAATATCTTTTTAAATTATCTATTTGAAGTTGTTATAGGTGTGTTTTTATATTAAAATTTATGTAAATTATAAAGAAAAAGTTTGAATTATCAATGTCTTTAGATTTCAAAATAGTATTTCAATTCAACAATATATTTATATATATACTTTTACCATCAAGATTACCAAGCAAGTATGGCCGAGCGGTCTAAGGCGCTACGTTCAGGTCGTAGTCAGTAATGGCGCGGGTTCGAATCCCGCTACTTGCAATTGATATTTTGATTTTTCTAACTATTTTAAATAAAACAAAATATATAAAATGAATATATAAAAAGAAAATTCATAAAAATAATAAAACCCTTTCTAAATACATATTAAGATATATATATATTTTTTTTGATATTATTCATTTCATAAAAATAAAAGAATACGTCTCTAAATCTTAAATAAAAACTATTAAGAAAAAAAAAAATTAAAGTTTTCCTTTTATACATTTAAAAATAAATCTGACCAGTTTTATAAAATCAAATTAACAAATAAGAATTAAAAATTAACAGAAATGGTCATTCTATGCATTTCAATATTTTTTTCTTTTATTATTATTGGTTATTTATTATTTTTATTTATTATTTATTATAAAATTACAGTTTGGCATTGATGTCCTATATAAATGGATTTATTAGTTCATAGAGTGACCACCACAAACCCATTTTATTTTTTTATCTTTTAAAGATGAAATAGGAATTGTTTGATTAGTAGTGTACCAAGTACATTGACAACATATTGATGTAGAACCTAAAAAAAAAGATATGATTATAAATTTATATTTTTGTTTATTAAAAAGAAAAAAGATTAATACATATTAGTATGTGTGGTTTTATACCTTTTTTAGGAATAAGTTCTTTTGAAAGTTTATTAATATTTGGAACATAGTTTCTAAAGAATAAGTAATTTACTTTATTACTCCATTCATAATCCTTAAAATACATACAATTGAAATCACATGAAGTGCATCTTAGTTTACTGCATGACCTTTATTATTTAATAAAAATTCAAGTTTTATAAGTATTATATACGAAATTAAAATTTTCATTTCTATGATTATGTATGAATTATGTTAATATTATTTACTTTTTATTATTTCCAATAGTTATTCCTTCTGGACCACCAATACATACTGTTGTACATCTATTTATTAAAAAATAATGAACAATATAAGATATTATATACGATTTTTTTTTATTTTAAATTATTGTTATATCTTTTTCATAATAACTGATTATTACTTTGCTTTATGGTGAGATGTTGAACTATTATGTGTATTATCTTTAATTGCTAATTTAGAACTTTGTGAATTAGTGGTATTATTACTGGTATATGATGCCTTTCTTTCGATTGCTATTTCCTTTTTATCAAATTTGTATTTACTAGCTGGTTTTAAATCCAATATATTATTGTTAGGTATGGCTGTATCAAAGGAAGACAATTCTTTCAATATATCGTTAATTTCATCTGTAGTAGTATTGTTTTGATATGTGTCAGTTTTATCATTATTATATTTTGAAATACCAGTGTTAATATTATATGATTTATTTTTATAAGACTTTGGTGGGCTATTTCATTATTTTAATTATTATACATAATTAATATATATATGGTTATAAAAGTGTAATAAATATATCAATATTCAAATTAATTACTTTGGTAAAGTATCTTGTTCTAATTCTAATTCTTTAAGTAAATATTCTATATCATCTTCCATGTCAGACTTAATTAAGGATGCCATTTTGATAAAAATACTTTAGAAAACAATGCTAAAAAAAAGAAAAGGTTATATAAAGTTTATTTTAAAAAAGTAAAGAAAAAACTTTTTATTAAAAAGAAATTAAAATAAAAATTTAATTAAAATTTAAAATTTTTAATTAATAACATAAAATATTTATTAAATAAAATTAAAGTTTTTCATTTTTTTTTTTCAACAACTTTTTCATATATGAAATAATAAGAAAAGAAAGAAGAGAATACTAAAACTTTATTATTTATTTTTTTAGGATGATGTTACACCAATGATTAAACTCTTTCATTCAAGGAAACCAAAAAGTTGTTGAATAATACGAATTAATTAAATAATTATTTCTAATTAACTAAATGTATGAATATTTTAATTTATATATGAATAATGATCATTATAATTGAGATAAAAACTTTTTTTTTTATTTTATTTTATTTATTACTATTAGCATTTTTTTTTTTTGTACATTTACATTTTGATATATCATGACATTATTATTATTATTATTATTTATTATTATTATTACTATTATTATTATTTATTATTATTATTTATTATTATTATTATTAGTATTTTTATAATCTTTAATTTTTAAATGAAATATTTATTTATTTCTTAAATGTTAAGATATATATATATATATGTAATGTATTATTTTATTTTATTTTTATTTCCAGACTTCATCATTTTCGTCCAATGGATAGTCCCAACCCATATTATTCTCATTACCCGAACTAAGTTTATCATCATTATCATAGTCTTCATCATTGTACCATTCAAAATCATTAGTATTTATATTATTGTAACTATCCCCAAAGATATCCTTATTTAATTTTTTGTTGGAAAACAGTAAGTTTGAACCAACTAAGTCAGAATCAAGGGAAACAAGATTATTAAAAATTTGCTCATTTGAAAGATGAAGTTCTTCTATACTACCTTTTTTGTTATTTAAATCATCATTATCTGGTTCATTCCATACTTCTTGATTTAGCCATGCTTCATAATTATTCATAAAGTTTTCATCAAGTTCCAAATTTTCATAATTTTTCTTATAATCTGCATCTTTAATTGATGAATCAACTAAATTAAGACGTGATAAAAAGTCATCTTCAAAAGTATCAACAATTGATTTTTGAGATTGGTTACTATTATTATTATTATTATTATTATTTTCATTTTCAGAATCAAGGTTAACATTTGGAAACATTCTTTTATGATAATGAATAATTAAATTTCTTAGTTGCTGCTCTTGATACTATATTCAAATAATTCAATAATAATAACAAAATAAATAATATTATGTGAAATACAAATACAAATACAATTTAGCAATTTAAATTTCATCCTTAGAATAATATATATAGTATAATGATATATTTTGACTCACCAAAGCATCATCAACATCTACTTCATTATTGTCATTACATAAATAATTGTCTTCAATATCTGGTCTTAAGTTTAAATAAATAGCTGTGATAATTCTCATATTACCTATTGAAGGATTAAATGGATTAACAACAATAATAAATATGTAAATATATATTTATTTAATATATATATGAATATTTATATAAATAGTTACTTGATTTCCATTTCTTTCCTAAAAATGGAATTTGACTTTTTAAAAGTTTTAATACGTAGAGTTGAATTCCAATATGATTTACTCTCAATATTCTTTTTAATACAGCACTAGTTTTCCATTGTACTAGTGCTAATATTCTATGCATTTTTCTTTTTGTAATTATTTGTAAGACTCTTAAAAGATTAATCGAGGTAAAGAAATTTCTCCAACAGGATGGATACAAATTAACTTTATTTGCATTTTCATTCATTGGTTTATCTTCAGAAGTTTCTAAGGTATCATTATTTTTAGTGCCTTCTGTTATATTTTGATCTTCATTTTTTGGTTCTTCGTCACCATTACTATTGTCCTTATCTTCTCCATTAGTTTCTTTACTTTCATTTTCGTCTTGTTCTTCAGCATTTGGATCAACTCTACAGAAATCAAAGAAGCTTATAAATTAATTTTTTTTTAAAAAAAGAAGAAAAGATTAATATAAAAAACCCCAATTTTATAGTGATCATTGTTATAGAACCTTTTTATAAAATATATAGTTATTATTATAAAATTTACTTTAATTCTTTAACATTAGTTTTTTTACATAACCATGAAGCTGCCATAGTATTAGACATTGGATTAACAGGGTTTTCATTATCTTTATTATAATTATCATTATTGTAGATAGACATAATTTCTTCATCGTATGGAACGGCCGAGTTTTGAAACCATATACTAAGCATTTTTAAAATTAATATTGAACAATTGTTATCCACAAGAAGCTGTGATATATATTCACATTGTAATACATCTATTGTATTTTATTAATGTTTATGAGAAAAAAATATATAATTTTTATAGTTAAGTGGTATAACTTTTTCTCTTTTTTGATTGATTACTATATATTATATTTATTATAATAATATTATTAAAAAAAGGATACGACAATATTTTGTATATTTTAATAAAAGAAGTAAAATAGCAGATACAGCTTTAGTAACAACTTCTTTATGTCTTTCTAAATCAATTTGATCAACATATTTTCTATAGAGATCTTTAACTTTTTCTTTTTCTTCTTTTGTTTCCGGTTTTAATTTTTTAATTTCAATAAAGCTTTCTATTAACTTTTGATCTTTAGTTTGAATATTATTTCCAATATTAATATAGTAAAGTAATCTAACAAGCATAGCTATATGAGTTGGCATATTTGGTAATAAATTTTTCTTTTTAATGTTTTTTTTTTTTTTTTTTTTTTTTTTTTTTTTTTTTTTTTTTTTTAATATAATTAAATAAAATTTTTTAGTTTCATTATTCATTTATTTATTCCTATTATTATTATTATTATTATTATTATTATTATTATTATTATTATTATTTAAATAATGACTTACATAAAGTTTTCTTATAGATCTTATAACATCAAATTCTGATTTTTCTTTAGTTTTTCTATTTTCAATTCTTTCATTAATTTCATTTAATTTTGTATTATCTTTATTTGCACTTGCAATGTACTTCCAATATAAAAGAGGTAAATATTCTTTATTATTTTCAGGATCGACAACATATCCATATTCTTTTTCTGCTTCACTTTTTTTTACTCTCATTTTTTCTTCAACCATTTGAAGATTACTTAAACTAACGTATAAATTCTTTTGATATATATTACTTTTTTCCTTGATTGATTTGATAACAGGACTTTCATTATCAATAAATGGTAATACACTATGATTATTTAAAACCTTGAAATTGTTATTTAAAAAGAGTTTATATTCATTACTTGATAATGGTGGTAAGTCTTTAACATTTGAAAGATAAACCGATGGATATTTATAAGTAGTTTCTGTATAGAATTGATAATAATCTTCAGGGGTCGCTTTGACATATTGTTCTTGAATTATTATATAATAATATTTTTGAAT